CTCCAGACATTCATGGAGCAGGGTTTTCTGAGCTAGAGAGGTGCTGCCTTTCTGCTTAAGAGCTCTCCATGGGCTTTTTCCTTCTGTGTTTCAGCTCCCACACCTCCTATGTGAAACAGGAGCAGCCGCTCGCCCTGTGGTGAGGAGTTCTCCTCAAGGATCCTCCATGGAAGAGACATCTCCTTGGGTTTCCTTTGAATCTGGCCCCTACTAATGCTGTTTCACCTAGATCCCAGTTGATATATGAGAAAAGGAGTGAACAATCACTCCTTTTTCTCCCTGATGTTCAGAGGTCTCTGGAAAGGAGCCAAATCTCCCACCACCAGCCAGGATGGTCCTGATGACACGGAACAAAATGACTTCACACTCCTTGTCGTGGATACATTTGGATGTCATTGTTTCTTTTCCATTCCTGACCAAAACAAAGAAAGGCAGGAAGAAAATCCTGTCCTGCCACATTTACTGGCTCGTGGCAGCTCACAAGTGACCTTGGAGCTTCCCACTGTGCCGAGAGCTCCTCCAAACCTCAGTGCTGCTTCCAGAGGTGGGGAAACCGAGCCACGGGGCAATTATTTAAACTTCTTCAGGCCACACAGTAACTCCACACTAGAGGGTGAAAAAAAGGCTCCCAAAACCTTTCGAGGTCAGTCCAGCCAACACTGCTGGAGCATTTGTGTTCCTTGCATGGATCACCGCTGCTTACTCTCATTTAGTACTTTTTAGCGTCCAAAATAGTGAGAGCAGGTAAACTGAGGCACCTGAGGTGCTCCTGCAGCCTGAAAAAAAAACCACAGAAATGTGGTAACACAGATGTAGATACCACCACACCTGGACCCCTTGCCCCCTGGCCTGGCTGGATACCCTGGGACATGGGATGGCAGCGGCTGGGCAGAGGGGGCACAGGGTGGCAGCAGCTCACAGAGGGGCTGCTCAGTACCCCAGGAGCCTGGCAGCCCAGGCAGGGATGCAGAGGCCGGGATGCAGAGGCAGGGGCACCACCAGCAGGAGCTCACCAGCCCCAGCCAGGCAGCTGATTAAAATGCAGTCCGGCCACCCCGGGCCTGTCCCCACCGTCTCCCGGCTTTAAATAATAGCTTAATTATCTCATTTACATTTGGCTCCTTTCAGGGAGGCACTGCGGTTGATTAACATTTTCCCTCCCGGTGTCTTGCTCTGCATCCCCGCTGCATCCCACCCTTCCCACGCTGCTGGTCCCAGTCCCCCGAGCACGGCTCCCCTCTCCCACCAGGGTCACCCACCACCGCCGGCCTCCAGCCCCACTCCTCCCACAGCCTCAGGGCTCTCCAGGGCTCTGGACATGCCAAGCCCCAGCTTGCAGATGGCCACGACAGACGCAGATGCTGGAGGATGGGAATCGGTGCCCTGGCTGGGCAGCTGTGGGATGAAGGCTCTCCTCATCCTCTCTCTGTGCCCTGACATTGCTTTGCTGCCGGCGCTGCCCCTGATCTCTCCCCACGTTCCCATTTCCGCCCCTCACTGGGCAGCTTTTAACTTTCTTTTTTATCTTCTCTTTTTAAATCTCCTTTGAACACTCCAGCCAAACACTGAATTCCTTTGAAGAAGAAGAAAATGTCTCTGTAGGTTGCCCTTTCTCACCGGCTGGAGCTGTGAGAGATCCCAGTGCCCAGCCTGGAGAGCAGAGACTCTGCCCAGTGGCTCCCCCAGCCCCAGGCACATCCCCAGGGGTGTTTCTGGAGGAGATCTGCCCAGTGGCTCCCCCAGCCCCATCCCCAGGGGTGTTTCTGGAGGAGACCAGGACTAGAGGCATCACCAGCCCTCATCTCTCAGATCCTCTGAGCCCTGTCAGGTTTCCCAGAAAAGCCACGTTGTGCTTCTACATCACATGGGGTCTTTGAGACAATTTATTGGCCCCTGCCTTTGCTGAAGGGGAGATTTTGCAACGAATTTGTGTGTAATTATCTCCCCAGCCCCATGGCTGTGAGGCAGAGGCCAGGAGGATGCATGTGAGCTCCCTGCTGTCCTCACCAGTCACACCATACCCCAAGCTGGGGCAGGACCTCACAGACAGGGGCAGGGAGGTGACACCGCCAGAGCCCCATCCCACTGGTGCTGGGGGAGGTGGATGTCCTCGAGGCTCTTCATTAGACCTGCTTATTGCTGTGCGAGCCTGTGCCCCAGCAGCCCCTTTCCTCCCTCCTCTCATCCCCCTTCCCTGGCTCCGTGCATCCCTCCCCAGGCTTGGCACAGCCAGCCGAGCCGCAGCACAGCACTGCAGACCCCGCTGCTGAATTCCAACCCTCCTGCGTGACTGCCAGGCATTTCCAGATAGTCCTATTGATCCTGTGGAGCCTCCAAAACCCCCATCCCTGCTGCTAATTTAGCTGGGACAGCCGCGCCGTCCCTTCTGCCTTTGATCCGCTCCCTCCTGCTCCCTTCAAACAGCCCCCCACTGCCAGGAGAGTCTGGGCTCGGTGCAGAGGTGCTCTTTTTGGAACATATATTTTTAATGGGTATTTCAGACGTGGTGCAGGCACGAGGGAGCAATTCTCCCGTGCCCTGGTATTTACATATTTTCCAGCACAGGCAGGGGAAGGTTTCACGGAGGGAGCCCGGCAAACAGGAAGGAAAGAGCTTTGTGCTTTGTATCGCCAGGGCCCAATTACAGCCTGAAAGGCGAGGAGCCCATCCGGGTATTGCCCTCTCCAGCCAGTCCAAGCTGCAGTTACAGTCCTCGCCAGGCTCAGCGGGGTCTGGGAAAAAAATAGATCTCGAGAGCTTCAGAAATGATCACTAGCTCACTCTCAGGGGCGTGGGGATTTTGGGGCACCATCTGCTCGCTCTTCTCTGCCAACACAGATCCTAAAAACTACTGGGTTTCACCTGGCTCCTGGAAGAGAAGGAAGGCAGGGGAGAGCGAGCCCCGAGGCTCCCTGCTGTGGTGGAAGTGAGGGATGGGAGTCCAGGGAGGTGGTGCTGCCAGAAGGGCTTAGAGTGGGACATGGGAGGAGACCCCACAGAGCAAAGGGATGGGAGGTGCAGAGGGAAGCTGGGATGAGGTTCCCTGATCCCACTCCAACTGACCTTCCCGCAGACAGACATGACTCCCAGGCTGGGGCACGCCCAGGCACTGCTCTGCTGGTGGCACAGCCCTGGGAGCTGCAGGAGCCCTGTGACAGCGCCTGCATGACCAGGAGGGACAGCAGCCAGCCCGGTACCCCCTGGGGTACCCCTGGGGTACAATTCAGGTCACTTCTGAGGCCAGTACAAGCCATTCAGGCCACCAAACAACACCCCCAAGCTGCTCATGGGCTGGACTGCACTCGAGGGTTACCACCATGGGGACAAGGGTGTGTGGCAGCAGAGGGTGGTGGCATTGCTGCCTGAGGACCCATGCTGGGAACCAGGAGGGGCAGACCACTGCCTCTCCAGGGAACCAGTCTCCACGGGAGATTCCCTTTATGCTCCAGGCCACGTGCCATTGACCACAGCAAGATCTGATGGCAACAGCATTTTCCAGAGTTGCAGGGCAGTCTCTGGGCAATGACTGGGAAAACGAAGCTGCAGAGAGAGTAGGAAGAGACAAAAAGAGCTATATGAAAAAGGAGATGGAGATATATGAGAATCACGGTGTGATTCTTGGGGCTGTGCTGTGCAGGGCCAGGAGCTGAACTCTATAGTCCTTATGGGTCCCCTCCAGCTCAGAATATTCCATGATTCCATGATATTGTGTATTGTGCTAAGCCAAGCAAGCTCTGTTTTTGAGCCAAATCAATAAATACTGAAGTGGTGCAAGTGACTGAGCCAGGTTTGACCTTCAGGCACTTCTAGGACTAAGTAATGTTTCAAGGGGAGGGTCTGTCCCACTAAACTTAACACCTGAAGAACCACCACGCTGCTGTCAAAGCATATGAATTCCATTTTCTTTGAAGCTCTTCCAGCCTCAAAGTCCTGCCTGGCAGTTATACACATTTCCAGGTCTAAATTTGTTGGCCTGTCTCTAGACATATGCTGTACGATATGATATGGAGCATTTGGGCATGGATTGCCGTGCAGCAGCGCCGTCTGCTTCCGAGCGCTCACGCTGTGGCACTCTCTGCCTCTTCAGCTCTGGAAAACCTACGGATTAATATTGCCATGTGCAGGAGGCTGCCTCTGTACCTCAGTATGGGCAAGGGAAGGGTAGACCCGAATCCAGAGTTGCTGGAACAGAGCAGGGAGGGGCAGAGTGCAGGACAGGGTGCGTAGTTCTGCCGCCAGAATCGAGGCAGGTCACCCACCTCTCCCATGCTTTTTCTCATAATGTTGACCATAAACATCCCAACATCAGTGAGGAGGACAAGCACTGCTCCTGCAGTCAGGGCGTGGGATGTGGCAAGCTCTGCAGAGTGTGTTAAACCCAGAGTGTGTTAAACCCAGGGTTTCCAACCCTGGAAACCCTGCCTTGCTTTCCAGGGTTGTCCACACCATGAGCCACCCAGGACAGTGGGCTAGGTTTCCTGCTTTCCTCTCCAGCCTTGTTCAGGATCTTTGGACACAAGAATCATTCAGAGTTACAGTGGAGCAGATCAGAAGCTGATTCTGCTTCCCATCAGTAGGTCCCAGTGTGTGCTGGTTTAAAGGTAAACCAGCAGAGGAAATGAACTCAACTCAAAAGAGAGATTGTAAGTCAGAATAACAATTTAATAAAATAATACAATAAGTACGATTATACAAACAATTGGTTTTAACCCACAAAACCCAAATGTATAACCCAGCACCCTGGGGCATGAACAGAGTGGTGTTCTTTGGGCCCCCTGAGTCCAAAGTAAAGGGAGAGGGGAAAAACCTGTTGCTGAGAGTGCTGGTGCAGCCTGGTCAAGAGTGGTGGTTGCATTCCAGTCAAGAGTGGTGGTCTCAGTCTGGTTGAGAGTGGTGATCTGCAGTCTTCCTCTGGATCCCACCAGTGGTTAAAAAAGTTCCAAGACTCCAAGATTATATATCCTCCAGTTCAGGCAGGAATGCCCAGCACTTCCCTCAGGGTGGGGAGCTCCACAAAGGGTGTGAGGACAAGAGCATCCTCCTATCTCACAGGTCTCTTAGCACCTAGTTTACAGCCTGAGGAGTAAGGCTCTATGGGCAGAGGGTGTAAATGGTTCATTGATAACAGTTTCTGGGAAATGGCATGGAAGGCTATAGAATACACAGGTTTGGGTTACACCCATACCATGATGAACTGGTCCCAGATGTTCTAACTAGGACACAGTGTTAACAATCAAGTTTTTATCATGGCAAAGACTGTCCATGGAAAAGCAACCTGCAGACCAGGTTGCACACCCAGACACGGAGGGGTGATGACTGCAGCTCCCAGCACAGCCTGGATGTGAGGGCCTGCTCTGACAACATCCTGCCTTTCCCTTGGCACAGGAACCATCTCTCTGCAGAACTCCCTCCTTGAGGACAGGTTGCAGCAGGGGTCAGGGCCAGATTTCCCTCTTTGGAGTGCACACTGAGGGCCTGACCAGGATGACCACCCCCAGGCACACCCCAAAAGGCTTGAAGGAGCAGACAGAATTTGGACAGGTGGAATCCTGTCAAGCCAACCTACCATTTGGCTTGGAAAGGACATCTGAGGTTCCCACTAGACAGCCAGGCACAAAGCATGGGTCTGGGTCATGAGCAGGGCTACAGACAAAGCCCTGCAGCTCCCACCAGCCAGCAGACCACCCCATCCCTCATGCCATGCCCAGCCCTGGGAGCTCCCTGGGCTCAGGGGGCAGCAGCATCTGGCTGAGTGAGGAAGGAGGTCAATGCAGGAGCTGCTGGCACAGAGATCCCCTCCAGTGTGGAGTCCAGTTTCTGGAGCAGGGAGGTGACAAGGACTGGTTTGGAGGCCAGTTTGGAGATGCTCTTTCCTGTGCCCGGTTCCCTCTTTGGAGAGCTCTCATGGGGAAAAGAGGAAGGGCACACACAGTGCCATGGTCCTGCCTGGGGGTGTTCCCAGCAGCTGCCAGAGAGGCAGAGGTGGCCAAGCCTGACCACCCCTGCATTTCAGGATGAGTGTGGCACCCAGCAAGGTGTCAGTCCCCAGTGACTCCATCCCAGCAACCAGCAACTAGTCTGAGTCAGCTTTGCCTCCCTGGCTGAGCGTGGTGTCCAGTCCAAGGTCTCCACCAGTTTATTACCTGCCCTCTGAGCAATGTATAGGGGGTCTGAGGTTACCTGGCTCCTTGCTGTGCTCTGCTCCTCCTGGTTTGGCCCTGATGGAGCCACAAATGGTGGTGATGGTCTGTGCATCCCTTCTGATGAGTTCTTGCAGCCCAGGGAACTCTACAGTCCTCAGACTGGAAGAAACCAGGGGGTGAGACCAGAACCAGTCCTGTGATCTCCGAGGAGTGCCAGCACTGAGAGCCCTCACCCCTGTTTTGGGGCTAAAGGGGGTCCCCAGCCATAGTGTGAAGTATCAGGAGTCTCCATATCAGGACTTGGCTCCAAGACCCATCTACCAGGAAGTTTCAGCTGAGTGATTCCTGGATCAGGTCTCTGTCCCACTGAAACCACTTCCAAGCCCCAACACCACATCTGCTGGCTCACCCCACCAGCCCTGCACTCGGGGCCACAAGAAGATGAATTCCCCCCTTGAGCCCACCATGCTGCCAAGCCCCCACCTCCCCTGCACACCACTGCCCCTAAAAAAGCCAAAGCCATGTGCCTTGCTCCCAGCTGCTGGAGAACAGCCAGGAAGCACTTCCAGACTGCGTCACCACATTCACGGCCTCTCTCGGGCTATATATAGTTGCGTGACTGCAGGTTTTTCTGGACGTCGAGTTGCTAAAGAACCAGCACTCCCCACTCAAAGCAGAGCACATCCCGGAGGGGAGCTGAGCTGGAAGGGGGAAGCTGAGCTGGAATCGGGGTGCTGAGCGAGCTGAAGGAACCCTGAGCACCCTCCCAGGTATGGTTTGCCCTGCTGACAGGTACCTGTGAGCAACCAGGAATTTTAGCCCTCTCCATCTCCTCAGCAGTGAAGTGCGTGTGTGCAGCCTGGGAGCTTGTGCAGAGCCAATTTTGTTTTGCCATAGCCAGCAGATCTGGAGAGGATGTGAAACTCAGTGCCAAAAGCTGCCTTGCAAGGAGGTCACAGCAAACACGGAGGGAGGAACCGCGGCTGTGCTGAGCATCACATCACACCCCCAGCCTTCCCAGCCACTGTGGTCCCCAGGTTTTTTAGGAGAGTCTGAGCTCAGAGGCACTGACTCAAGCACTGCAGCCTCCCTGTGGTCCCCCGAGGCCCCAGTGCTCCAGACTGGCCTGCAGCACAGCAGGGATGGCACTGAGTGCATCTCTCTGCATCCCACTGGGTCCCTCTGGCTCAGGCACAGCCGGGCAGCTGCCAGACCTTGTGGTTCTCCTTCTGCTTCATTCTGATACCTGGGACTGTCCTGGGATGGGACACATGCCCAGGAGATGCCATGGATGGGGTGTGGGCTCTATCAAACCCCATGTCTTAGTGCAGAAGAGGAGGAGCTCAGAGCAACCTGGTCCAGTGGAAGGTGTTCCTCCCACAGCGGGGGGTTGGAATGAGATGATCTTTAAGGTCCCTTCCAACCCAGGCCATTCTGTGATTCTGTGACATTTGTGCAAAGGTGGAAGACTCCCTATGACTCTCCTCCTTCCCAGAGGAGTTAGGAGCCCTTTCTGTCCATGTCTTGCTGTTTCTATAAAGGCTGTGATTTAATTTGACCCCTGCTATCCTGGACCAGATTTCAGTGATCCAGCAAGGAATTCCAAAGAACCCACAATCCTTTTAGGACCCGTTGCTTTTCAGGCCATGTCCTGGTGTACCAGCTCCTGCAGCAGCTGTTGGTCCAGCCTCTCTCTCCCTGACCTCCTCCTAGTGCTGCTGCCTGTTCACTGCACCCGTGACTGCACTGGCATTGCTGTGAAAAAGCTTGACTAAAAGGTAACTCCAAAAATCACAACAGAGGAAGTGAGGGTGGGGAGGCCCTGGCACAGGTTGCCCAGAGAAGCTGTGCCTGCTCCATCCCTGGAAGTGTCCAAGGCCAGGTTGGACAGGGCTTGGAGCAACCTGGGCTAGTGGAAAGTGTCCCTGCACATGGCTGGGTAGTGGAACAAGATGGCCTATAGGTCCCTTCCAACCCAAATTATTCTAGGATTCTATTATATGATTCTGTGAAGCCAGTTCTGGTGATCCATGGCCTTAGCCTGGCCCAGCCACCTACTTCCAGCCTTCAGGAACCCGAATAGCTGCTTGTTGGAGTTCATCTTGTGAGAAGGTGGAGCAGTCCTGCAGTGTTGCCATTCCTCTGAGCCCACCCATGTTGACCTCATCATAGTGTGGCAGAACACTTCAGGTCAGAGGGGACCCCAGCAGGCCTCTTGTTCAACCTTCTGCTCAAAGCAAGGTCCACTGTAAGATCTCACTGTCCAGTAGGGGCTTGAAAACCTCAGAGGATGGAGATGGCACAGCTTCTCTGGGCAAGCTGCTCATGCTTGGCTGCCTTCATGGAAAAAAGTGTCTTTATCATCAGTCTGAACTTCTCTTTACTTACCTAATACCTGTTGTCTCTGTTCCTCTCACCATACACTGCTCTGAAGAGTCTGGCTGTCTTCTCAATAACCTCCCGTAGGTACTGCATGGCTGCTGTTGGATCCCCCTGCATCCTCCCCTCCTCAAGGATAAATCTCTCACTGCTGCTGTTCTTGCCACCCTGAAAAGGTGAAGAACTGCCTTCAGAAAGAAGAGAAAAGAAAAAAAGAAAGGAGAAAAAAAGGATTAAAGGAAAAAAAAAAAAGAGAACTACTTCAAATTCTTGTGACCCTCTTCATTCCAATCCCACTAAAAGCCAAGGCAGCTCAGAGGATCCCATCCCATCATACTCTGGACTGCTCTAAGAATCAGGAATGACTTACCTCAGTCCAAGGTGTTCCCATCCCTCTGCTGACACTGGATAACACAGGACTGTGAATATTCCCATCCTGGAACACCTCTGAAGGAAAAAAAGCCACTGTCTGCCAGAGTTCAACTTTCTCTAGGGAAGCAGAGATATTTAGTAGGTAAAACAAGGGGAAAGGAGGCTTGAGAGGTCTCAGGTAAATCCCTTAATCCCAGCATGCCTTCATTTTCCATTCTGCTCCTGAGGAACCAGTGGCTGAATGCACAAAACACCTGCACAGAAAGGCAAGTGCTGCCTGATCAACCTCTTCCCCTGGGTGAATCATCTGTTCTGTGCTGATTTCACAGTCCCTCACAGCATGAGACAAACCCAAAAAACAGTGCTCACATAGTCAAGGTGAGCTCTCCAAAAGGTGAGTTATGGTTGTTTCCTGGTTGAAGACAGGATTAAGAAGGGCTGGAGATACAGGATTTAGCTCCATCCATCAGAAGCAGATCTGGGTATCACCATCATCAACAACCATCAACCATCTTCCCTCTGCCTACAACAGTGTCCCTACAGTGTTTCAACCAGCACTGACTGAGGCCAGCCCTGGTCACAGAGGCAGCAGTTCTAGACTTGGCAGCTGTGGGCAGGCAGGTTGGAGACCACGAGTGACTGGGGACATAGAAGGTGTGATGGAAATGTGGTTGAGAGAAGTGTGGAGAGCAGGCATTGTGAGGGGGGACAGGGGATAACCAGATCTGACCAAGCAAGAGCTGACCATGAGCTTTGGATCTGCTGGAGAGAACCAGCTTCCATGACTGAAGGCCATTTGTGAGCCAGCATAAAGGTGAGAGCAATCCAGGAAGCCTTTGGAAGCCACCAGCAAGACTTAAAGAGGGTCAGGAGGTTGTAGGTCTCATCTCAAGCTACTCATTAGCCACAAGGACTCTGGCCTTTCAACCAAACTAATTACTGATTGCTCAAAGGATGACACTTCCCACAGCTGCCAAACTTGCTGACGCTGGGCCCTGGGTGTCTTCTATTCTGGGAAGGGGGAGTGGAGTCTCCTAGTGTGAACTTGTGGAGCTGGGCAAAGCCACACTGGAGCAGAGATAAAGTCAAGGACAGCTGCAACTGCTTGGCAATCGTTCAAAATGAGCCACGAGTCAGTGACTTGGCTATTCTGGGACGAGCTGAGGAGCCAGTGCTGGGGAGGGTGGACTCACAGCCTGCTCACACGTACATGGACTGCAGCAAGCCCGGACCTGAGCAACGCCCAGCACACAGGCACGTTTGTCAGGGACCTGGTCAGGGACTGCAAAGCCCTGTCCTGGTCACCAGGGAGGAGCCATGGCTGTGGATCTGCCTTGGGATTGATCTAGCAGACCTCACAGGGATACAGCAGGGCAGAGCCACACAGAGTCCCCGAAAGGCACAGAGAGAAAGAGCTGCTCCGAGGACTTTTCAACCCTCCAAGTTGCTTGAAATTGGGTCAAAGCCTTCGCCTGAGGCTGGTGTATCCAAGCCCAACTGCTGCTGAAGATTGTAGTGAGCCCAGCGAAGGTTTCCCAAGTCAGAATTTGTTGGGGTTGGGGTGGATGAAGCCTGTGATATTCCCTGAATTCGAAACCAGTGACCAGAGAAATACTCTCAAATCTTGGCCTGAAGCTGGAGCCTGAGTTGTTTATGTGCTGCATTTCCCAGCTTTTGGGTGGGAGCACTGGGGTGGGATGCTCTGATGCGCCCCAGCAAAGGTCTGTTCCCTGCCTCCAGTATTCCCAGCATGGCTGGGACTGACCTGACCCCACCACACAGCCCAGTACAGGTCACTTCCAGAGCTGCAAGACTCAGAGAGACAATTAAGCTCGTTGGGAGCTCACCCAAAGGACACCAGGCCTTTTGAGGTCACTCACTGCATATGCTGGAAAGCAGATATGATCTCATTAGGCAAATATTTATGATCAATATTGTCCACTCCCTGGCAATGAACAGCATCACTTGGAGCAAGAAGCTCTCCAGGGATGGATGTGGGTTGACACAAGAGCCTGGGTTGACTCTGAACCTCTGCTCACCTGGCTTGAAAACACCTACAGTTATCCTAAATACTTTTTTCACGATTCACCAGGAGATTAATTAACTGCTTGGAAACCCCAGACATTAATTATTGATTATGCAAAAGATTTTGTTCATCACAGTTGCTGAGCTTGTCAGAGTGCTGTGGGACAGAATGGCCGAGGACATCAGGATGGAAGGGGAGTCTGGATAAGCCCTGGAGAGTGGATTTGCCACTCGCTTCCCACAGTGGGGCCTCTCTGCAAGGTAGAACAGCTCAAAAACAGGGGCTGAGCGTGGCAGCCCAACTCAAACACAGCCTGCCCCGAGGGGCAGGGAACTGAGGCAGAGGACGGCGTGACCCGTCCAGGGAGCAGATCCAGGACTCCCTGCACCCTGGGGCTGATGGATGGGGCTGCCTCCGGGGCGTGCGGAGGGGAGATAACCCAGCATCGCCTCCCCCTCGCCGGCTCCACCGCGGCACCCAAGGCGCTCCGGGAGGAGAGGGGTCCCAGCGGCCCCTCCTCGCCCCGGCTCCCCGGGCAGGGCGAGCCGGCAGCCGCGGGTGGCAGTGATAAACCTCCTGCAACGCCCGGCAATTAATCTTGTGCAGCGGTGAGTCAGAGTCACCCGGAGCTTCCTCCCCTCACCCAGAACCAGCCACGGCCGTCTCCAGAAGATCTCGGCTCCGGGGAACCTGCAGATGCCACTGGGCTCAGGGAGAGGGATGTTTTTTTGTGCTGTGCCATCACTGAGAGGTACCAGATCCCCCTCTGCATCTCTCAGCTGCGCCTGAGGGAGATGAGACCCACTGATATCCACATGCGCTGGTGTATCTCCGCAGAGGAGTGGGGTGCTTTAGCCTCAGCCATGGGGAAAGCGAGAGGGAAATGCCATCCTCATGATAAAGCTTCAAATAAAGAGGTGTCAAAAGCCAGAGGGGGTGGAGGCGGCAGGAAGGACCTAAATAAAGCCCCCGAGAAGGAGTCGGCATGTTTAATTCCCACCAGGAAAATGCCCCCGCGCATTTCCCTCCGCCCCGTTCTCCCCCCCAGATCCGCGGTGCTCCCCAAACTTTGCCAAGCTTTCCCGGGGAAAAAGCCTCTTCCCGCCTTGCCCTAGGCATGAATGCAGTTTGCAGTTTTAACAGCAGATGTCTCTCCTATTATGATTTATAAAAATGCTTAAAATAAATAATGCAAACATATTTACAGGAATGAATTCCCGCTCCCGAGCGCGTTTGTCACTCGGAGGCTCCCGAGCAGGAGCGACTCGCCGCCTGAGTGCCTCCCGCACAGCCTCCCCGCCGCCCCCTCCCGCCGGCGCTGCGGCGGCTGCCAGGAGCCCAGGGCAGGGTGGCCAAATCCCAAATCCACCCCCCCGACTCACACACACCCTCCCCCGAACGCCGGGTCCGGGCCCACACCAGCGCTTCCATACAGATACGTTGTATAATCAACGTGTTAAATATTTAAAATGGTCGTGCAGGAGAGCTGGCCCGGCGGTGCCTGATTTCACACATCCTCACAATTTCACGGACCTCTGGGCTTACGTTTCTTGGCAAATAATGAAAGGCGGTGGGAGCCCCCTTTCCTCGAAGGGCGCGCTGGGGAGGTTTTGCCCTGGCCGCAACTCCTTCAAACGCGATGCGACTCGTGCAGCGCCTCTCCCACCTCCGCGCCCAGCCATGTCCAATGCTTTTAAGCGTGACCTTCGCGCGGGGCGGATGCAGCCGTCACGCCGCCGAGGTGACTCAAAGGCAGAGCGGGGGGCCGGGGAAGGGGGGGCACGGCCGGGGGGGGGGGGGGGGGCAGCTGCCGCTTCCAGCGGAGCAACTTTTCCATGGCCGTTTTCCCGCAGCCCCGCTCTTTTCCGGCGTGGCGCACACAAAGAGCCGGGCGTACCTGCGGTGATGCGAGTGGCCCAATTACCGCTCCCGCACCCAGCCTGGCCGTTTCCATAGCTTCGCAGCACAGCGCCTTCCCTCTCCCGAGGCCACCGGAGCAGGACCCGGCGTCTTATCAGCGATCATCCTGCCACGCAGCGCTCCTCCGGGCCCTACCTGCCGACGGCCAGTCTCGCTGGCAACGCAGGATAATATCTTTTTCCCACCAGAGCCGTGCAACGATTTCTTCCCGCTGTAATTTTGTCTGGCTTCCAAAGCCGCTTGCATAACCGGGGCCGAGGGAGCAGAGCACAAAGCAGGGCAGCTGCGGGAGCTCCCCGGAGCAGGGGATGGGGTGAGAGGCTGTCCCAGCCACGAGGGGCTCTGGTGCTCCGATCCTGCCTAAGGAAGGGCAAGAGGAGACATATAAAAGGGCTATTGGGTCTCCCTGGCCAAACCTCACCTGCTACCTGTGAAGCTGAGCAGGGAGTACGAGGAGATGGAGGGCAGGATTTCCCCCCACTATGGGCCAGATCCTGCCTGGGTGAGAGCATCATGGGAGCCCAGAACCACACCCTCTCAAAATTGGCACAGATTTTGGGCTAAAAAGCCTGCTTCAGATGGAGAAGGGGTGTTTGTGGCCTCCTGAAGGGGTGACATGCTCAGTGTTCTGTTTTCTCTGAGGTTGCCTTGGCAAGGAGCAGGAGCACTGGGCATGCAAAGGCATGGGGTGTCTCTGCTGGGACCTGTGTCATGGTGGAGAGGCCCATTCCAGCTGGGACAAGCAGGAAAATAAAGAACTGAACACCCTGACATTTTCCCAGTGAGGGTCCTGCATCCTTCCCCACCTCAACCAGAGCCACGGCCAGTGCTGCACATCCCACCCACCCTGCCTCCACTTCTCAGCTCCAGAGCTGGATCCACGGGCAAAGCCAGCAGGGACAATTACCTGGCACAAGCAGGTTGAGCCCATCTCCTGGCCAGAGGACCATGGCTGCACTGCCAGCCATCCCCCCAGCACAGCCCAGCAGGGTGGTAGCAGCACACACAGTAAAGGTTGCTCAGCGCTCAGCAGCCCCCGGGTGATGATGTAGGAAGGGCAGCCCCCGTCATGGATCCATCCACAACTTCCCAGCCAGGCTGGAATTGTTCACACTAATAGTTTATCCACCGAAATCTCTATTTTCAGAGAGACTCTAATTATTTCTCTCTGGTGACCAGCAGTGGGACCCAAGGGAACAGCATGAAGCTGTGTCAGGGGAGGTTTAGTTTAGATGTGAGGAAAAGGTTCTTCCCTCAGAGGGTAGTCAGGCACTGAACAGGCTCCCCAGGGAAGTGGTTGTGGTCCCAAGCCTGGCAGATCTCAAAATGTGATTAGACAACACTCTCAGGCACAGGGTGGGATTGTTGGGGTGTCCTGTGCAGGGCCAGGAGTTGGACTTGATGATCCTTGTGGGTCCCTTCCAACTCAGGATACTCTGTGATTCCATGATTCTCTGATTTGCAAATTTGGGCTGCATCTGAAAGGACAAGGAACATCTGTTATCTTGGGATAAGCAAAGTGTTTATTTTTTACTTCTGTGGTATTAGAGGAACTTTGCAACTTTTCACTTGCCATCTAGAAAAGTCATTTATATCAACAGTGGGTAAAACCAAGGGCCTCCTGCTGTTGAAGAAACACTTTTTTTTTGTTTCAGAAAGAATATCTAGAACAGTTCATTTTGGGTCGACCCAAAGTGATTTCTTTCCCCTGGGTTTTTGATTTAACAGCCCAAACAATACAACCCCACTTATTCTCCCAGTCCAAGGGTACTTTTTGCCACAGATCAGCTGCCTGCTTGAAATTTTCCATGCTTTGTGGCTGAGTCAGACTACATTTTTCTCTCCTTAATTTAAGCAAAAACTCATTTCTGAGAAGACAGTTTTGCCCACCAAGCAGGACCACGAAGCTTTCCCACTGCCTTGCCTGGAATCGAGAATGAGGTGGCTGTGCTGGACCCTGCTCCGTTTCCCAAGGAGCTGCACACACACTCGGGGGAATTACCAGCCCCTGGAAATGGTTGTTTGCAGAGTAGTTTGCACACTGGCAGTGCCACAGAATACGCTCAACTTCTGGAAAACAGGGATCTCCCAAGGAGCAGAGGGCAGCCCAGCAGGTGATGCCCAGGGAAGGGACTCAGGCAGGGTCCGTAGGGGTGAGATGCTCCCAGTCCTGGTGCTGTGGCTCAAGGGCTTTGCAAGATGGAGGTGGGATGTTTGTATTTTCTGTTCTTTCTTACTTTTTTTGCCCTAATCTCCCTCTGCCAGGTTTGAAAGCTGCACCTGCAGGACAGTTCAAACTCTGGTGTGAACTCCCTGCTTCACACCTCGCTACTGGAGCATCCTCCTGGATCCCACCGGGGGCAAATGGAGGTGATGATGGCCCGTCATACATGGAGATTGCAGGCAGAACAGCTTCCTCCAGGACCTTCCACCATCAGAAGGGATTCACTTCCCACCAGAGCTCCACAGGCAGGTGGAGGGAGGCAGGGGCTACCTGGCGAAGCAAACAATGGCTCACCGAGACCAAACACATCCATAGGACCCTGAAGGAGGAAGAGGACAAGGCTGACAAACTCAAGAGTTCTCATGTCCCAGTACAGCCACGTTTTCTAAGCTATATTCCCAAATTGTCCCATGTGCCCATCCCAGGAGCACCTGGGTGCAGTCAGGGCTTGCTGGCTCTGCCAGATGTGCCAGGCCTGTGCCTGCCCTCCAGGAAGGCTGCAGAGGGCAAGCCCCAGGACAGGTCTGCAGCCTCCTGGGCTGACACCCATCTGTGCTGGGCAGCAAAGGCACATCCACCCCTGCCTGCACCCACAGCACCTGCCTCGCCGAGATGGGACAGGCTGTGACCCGATTGTGGGAGGAACAAAAAGGCTCCCGGGCAGCAAATGCACCAGCCCAGGTTGTGCTGGGTGTCAGCTCAGCTCTGCTCGGCCCAGACATGACTCAGGACACCCAGCACACTCCTTGGGGACAGCTGGAGCAGCAGAGACATGGCAACTTAGGTCCATTTCCCTCTTTTCCCTGCCCACCTGGAGCTCTGCCACGGCCAAGAAGGGAAGAGATGCCCCAAAAATGTGACTAGAATACAAATGTGATGTTCAGACTGTGGCAGTGGCTGTAACCCAGTTTGAACTCTCCAGCCACAGAGGTCCATCCTGCACTGCAGGCAGCAGGGATGAGACCAGCCTGGCTGACAAACCCTCCCTGCAGCCCCAGCTCTCCACCACCAGCCCACTGGGGAGCTTCTGCCAGTTGCTGCCTGTACCCTTTTGCTTGCCCACAGAGCTTTCCTGCCTGTGCCACAGCCCGCAGCCCTTGGCATCCCCATGGCACGGCAGAGGTTGCTGGCAGTGCCTGTCTGAGCAGATGCTGAAGGAGAGGGAGTAGCCCACATGTGGTCATGCCTGGGAGAGATCCAGGCCACTGGGTTTGGTCACGTTGGAGAGCAGAGTCAGGGATGTGGATGTGAGAAATCCAACGGCTCTGAGGACAGGGTGGCTGCATCCCCAGGCAGCGAGAGAGTGCCAGGGCTGGACACCCCTGCCCCTGAGGGGGCTGTGTCTTGGGAGGTCCTCACCTGCCTCCAGCACTTTGGCTCTGAAAAGGGCCAGAAACCTCAGGAAAGGCTTCTGTGTATCCCGTGGAGCAGGACCACCCGGCCCTCTTCACCCTTGGCCCCCTTTCCATAGAAATTACCACCCTGCACTCACTCAGCTCCAGCACCACAGAGCTCAGCTGGAGAGTTTCCTCTGGTTTTCCAAACTCAACACACCTGAGCAGCAATTTGGGATGAGGCAGAAGAGCTGCACTGGACTGTTGGCATCCACGAGGCAGGACTGAGGTCCCTGGGATGCAGCATCCATGTGCAAGCACCCACATGTGAGCCAGACCTTTCTCACAGGAGTTGTACCTACTCCAGTCATGGTTTTGGGGGCATCTTGTCCTGCTTCAGACGTGGGACTTGTCCATGGCTAGAAGGATGCTCCATGGTGCTGTGGGCAGCAGAGGCTTTGCCCAGGTCTATAAGGTGCCTATTCCTGGGCTGGGAGAGGGGCCTGAGCAGGGCTTTGCTCTCCAGCCTGGGCAACCCATTGAGAAGGAAAGGGGAAGAGGAGAAGACTGGTTGTAAAGAGAGGCTGCTGCAGATCTGCTCAACCAGGGCTGTGGCAGCACTGGGGTGTGTGTTAAGAACTGGCTTCCCCAAGTTTAGGAGGCTGAGAGATGCGTGGAATAAATTACTTGTGACACTGACTCCTACACTTCCAGACTCACACGGGATTTAGCCACCAGACTCCCAGTTAAGTCAGCACCAGTTATTAAGGTCAGGAGAAGTCGGGTGGCTAAATCCTATCTGGGGCTGCGGCACAGGGCTGTGCCAGTCTGAGGAGGCATCCTGGTGCTCCGGGGGGATGTGTCCCCCAGCACCACTCCCCAACACCCAGAGCAGCCTGGGAGTGCTCCCATTGCAGGCTGGCAGTCAAATAAACAAATTGTCCATTATTGCATCCAGTTCCTTCATGGGGATATTTGGGAGAGGAGAGAGAAGGGAGGAGGGAGGAGAGAGGAGAGAGGAGAAAGGAAAGAGGAGAGAGAAGAGAGAAGAGGAAAGGCAGACCTTGCCCTGATCTGGGAACAGCCTGGTTTGTTTTGCTGCTGGTTTCTGAGTGGTTTCACTTATTCCTTTCCTCCTCCAGTACCTGAGGTTTCAAATGCTCCAGGGAGATGTCTCCATTAACCACAGTTTTCCTTGG